TATCTATCTATCTATCTATCTATCTATCTATATCTATAATGGATTTCTATTAGTTTGCAAAGGTTTTAAACAAGAAGCTGAATTAATTTAATCTGAGGTTACGTTCCTGTTTGCTTTTTTCTGGCTTAACATTTTTCTAATTCGCTACAAATTACCCGAGTTTACATCCAGCGGCGGTTTGACCTTTTCAAAGTTTTCCTGAGTGACATTTTCAAGCGTCCTCCAGTTTTGAGAGCCTAGCTGTTGAAACATGGCCGCCTGTTTCAGCCGTCATTAACGTCGCCGCCTCGTTATCTGCAGAAACGCTCAGGATCGGCTCCTATGCAAATGCGTGACATGCCGGCTGATCCGTTTGTTTCATAAGTACAGCAATTATTTTTAAACTGAAAAATACATACATTTCTAATCTCTGGGAGTACGCAGCCCATTAGTAAAAGTGGCTGTGGAGAGACTCTGATTTGAATAATTAACTGCCTGGATGGACTGAAGGAAAAACAGACGGCTAGACGGACGGATGGAATTAACATACAGATAGAGTGATTGACAATGAAGCTAAAATGTTAAACACTGGATATAAATGTAAAAAAGTAACAAAAAAACTGAATAGAAACAGGAAAATAATAACTCAAACTATAGAAAAATCTTTTAAAAAATGGGAAATGATCCACATGGAGGCAGAAAGCCTGACTGGACTGATGAGAAGCTCTGGTTTCATTCTGGTTTTATTCCACCTGCAGAGCAAACGGCTTATTCCATATTCACTGATCACGATCTGTTTTATGAAGCATGGAGCCAGCGGCGTCCCGCAGAGCTCCTCCATCCATCCCATCGCTCCTCGGCTCAAGGTTGGCTCAAGCTTTTGTTTTCTGGCTCACTTCCCCAAACAGGATCAATGAGGAGCAGCAGAGCTGATGAATGATTGATGCTGAAATCTCACTTTTCATTGGTTTGTCTCAAGGAGCTGAAAATAAAGTCTGTTTGCAGAAAAATTTCCACGGGGCTTTTTAGAGAAGGAGAAACTGACTTTTGAACCTTTTTTTGTTCCATCCATCCATTTTCGTCACGCTTGGTCAGGGATAACATGCAAACTCCATGCAGAAAGACCAGGAATTGAACCCAGAACCTTCTTGCTACAAGGCAGCAGTGCTACCCACTGTGGCATTGAGCAGCTTTTTTTGTTTTATTTCCATAAACCACAAGATTATTGACTGGTCAATATGGTTTACTAGTGGTTCCTAGAATTTCTAAAAGTAGAATGGGAGGCAGATCTTTTAGTTCTCAGGCTCCTCTCCTGTGGAACCAACTA